CTTGCCTTTGGGATTGTCCCCCGTCGTTTGCATGGAGCCGGCGATTGACGAAACCTTTCCTCGCCTAATGAATGTCCAAACCTCGTCGAACCGTCTAGAGAAACCCATGGGCGTCGAGGCTAGCACGAATGATGCTTTGCATTAACCGATCGTGGAACGTTAGCAGCAATTGATGGTATTTGCATCGGACCTAACGTTTGGTCTGGCTCCAGTCGTACACCGCGGCGAGATCATGGGGATCGACAAAATGACAACATTGACGATGCCTCCCATGCATGTTGTTCTCGACGACTTTGGTGAAATGGAGACCGACAACAACTCGATCGTGGAAGCTACTACAGTTACGGAAGCGGTCATCAGTTCTCCGACCTGTGCAGATCTCGCAAATTTAGAATTGTGAGCCTTAAGCCAAATTTTCTCAGACCTTCTTTCTGATCAAGTCCAAACCTTGCGAGGCTCGTCCTTCGAGCACCAATCCGTTACCACGGACCATTCGAACCGAGTGGACGAAACTCTTTCGTCTAACCGTGTCAGCTGCTACCGACGAATTTGTCCGCCTCGGCAACGCTGTTGATATGGTAACCGAACGGAACCAATCACTGGATCGAGGCGTTTCGTCGATCCATCTTGAGCTACAGGCATTGGGCTCTTCGGTGAATATCCTTTATTGGCCGTTTCAGATCCTACGGTAATCCCCCAGAATACCCGTGCCATTTCTAACTGCACCCTTCGGTGCAAAGTCAAGCTTCGGCCGCTGCTCAACTTCAGATCACTCTTGACTTGTACTTAGGTCGCGTCTCCAATGAATTTCAGCATCTCTCGTCTGACGTCCAAGCTCTCGATCGTCTCTTGCACGAACAACTTCCTGTAACATTGGCCGTTCCTGACGACACTCGACCCCGCCTAGAAGCGCTTCGCCAGGAAAACCGATTGCGTCTCGTCCCTCGTCCACGACAAGACCCTTCTGCAAGACCGCGTGCTACTTCTCGAAGCACGCATTGATCACGACTCAGTCTAGACTTCTCGTCCCGTCTAGCACAAGCGAGACCCCTGCACCCGAATCCTCGTCACGACCGGCCTCGACTAGCCTGACTCGCGACTCATCCGAACCATCCCCAGGCTACCCTTTTCAGCTACCTTCCGAACTCAATGCCCTCTTGACCAAAATGTCCAGTAAAATGGCTGACGTCAAGGAGGATATCGACACGTCCTCGAGCAACCATGCCTTTTGTCACGCTGTGCCATCCCGTCGTCGGACGCCCAAGATCACTGCGAGTACTTCATGAAGCAGCTTGTGGAACAAGATAACCGTGGTGGTCTGACCGACAACGAACGCAAGTCTCTTCTCGGTCTGAAGCTCTCGGCCGACAAGACTCCCGCTACCCTGAACGCCTGGTGGATCGCTTACTCCAAGACGAAAGGCGGTGACCACGATAGCTTTGTGGACCAGTTCGGCAGTAGCATTCCTCGCGACCATATGGACAAGCTGAGCGATCCATGGACAAACCCGTCAAGGTCTATGCAATCCGGCTACAAACGATCTTGAACGAAGTGGACTTCCCTGCGAGTACAGATGTCGCAATGTTCAAACGTGGATTTCGTCACGCCCGTGCTGAATCTTGCCTCGAGCACACTGATCGAGAACTCAACTATAACGCCGACTTCATGAAACGTTTTCGCACGCGTGAAGTTCGCCTGGAGGAGATTACTGCCAAGCCCCAGGGGTACGCCAAGCCTCATCCAACTCCTCCGCCTCTACGTCGGCTTCGTCCCGTACTACCACCAGTGAACGTCCGACTCCACCGGAGTCACCTCGTGTACCGCGCCGTAGGTCTCATGTCATATTTGAAGACCAAGTGACGATGCGACAACTACTCGAACTTATCACGACGAATCAGACCCAACAGCAAAAGGCGTTCGTCGCGTTGATCGAACGCTCGAACCAAGTCCAGCAAGGATTTGTCGAGGCCTTGACTCGTTCGAGTCAGCCCCAGTATGCTGCCCCCACCCAGCAGTCGCAACCATATGGCTTCGCCTACCAACAAGCGGCACCGATCCAGCCTGCAACTTCCTCTTATGGACAGCAGTATCAACAGCCATATGCTTCTCATGCCATGTCACCTCATGGTCAACCAGCTCTTCAATCCAACCCGATGACAACGCCGAAACAAATGTCTGGTGTAGGACGCGCTCGCGCTGGTCATATACCGATGGTTATCTCTTCGAAACCCGACGAAATCACGGTCAGCGACCAAAACGTCTGTGGCCGATGTGACCACCTCCACCACGGATCTAAGGAATGCTCTCGTCAGACCATGCGTTGCAACTTTTATGGCCAGATGGGACACTACCCAGGAGAATATGTCAAGATTTGCCACCTCTGCGGTCAGCCTGGGTCAACCGCCGCCAAGTGCCCGTTCAAGCCCGCGCACTAAGCTTGAGGCTTTGGCGCTAAGACGAACCCTACGGGAACAGGCTTCGTGTAAACTTGCCACACTCAGCACGCTTCCTTAGTGACTGAGAACAATGCATCTTCCTATTCTTGCTCGATCTCTGTTGTTACGTCGGAAGAAGGACTTACGTCTTTTATCTATCCTTCAATATTGGACTCGACTCGAACTCCGCATCTTTCCCTCGAGCCAGTCCCGATGAATCAATTCCTATCTCCCACCCAGTCGAACTGGCTACCGTGGCCGAGATGATTACTATCCCTCCTCGATCGATTCGTCTAATATCGTGCCTGGCTGGACAGGATCCCCTCTCAACTCCTACGTTTTCGTGGAACCTCAAACGAACGCGCTGGCCCAGATTACAGCTGCTTTATACTGTAAATGTCCTCCAATACGGTATTGGTCGAAATGGCATACGCATCGCATGAACCTCTGACGTTACAAGCCAACACACCTCTTGGAACTCGGAGGGCGCTACGACATAAGTTTACCGAGCGTCCATAAACGACACCCCGGCAACTCCTCTGGTCTGGAACGTGGTGGCTCCTCAGCCTTCTGCCCTGGATCTCTTGCTACCCCCCTTGGCCGCTGCCACCCTCTTCCCATCACCGCAATCACCCCTACCACCATCCCTCACTACACCGTCACACCCCGCCCCTGCCTTCGGCCACCTACACGATCCATACTCCTCGGATGACTCCAACAACTCTGAGCTCCTCGATGCCCGCATTGCGGAAGCGCTACAAAATCATTTAGAAGGTTTTGATTGGTTAATAATTTTGAGCTCAACTGAAGTAGCCAATCAAATCGATTTAAATTCCAACGAGAAACCAGGCCACAACACGAAATTTCACTCGAAAGTACAATACAGTACTACAATTCATAACACATGTCAGCTTTGTCAACTACTGTAACGCGAGAAATGTGGCTGACGTTATGTATGCCTACGAGACCGAATGTCCCGGCACTCTCACCACACAGTGAAGTATCGCTGTAACCCCTGCACCACATACAGTAACTAACGTTATGTGTGAGGTGGGGCTTGATCCAAAAATAAGCTACAGTACAGTATGTACCGATGGGAACCAGTTTCGTACAGTTTCATAGAGCGTCAGCTTCAAAGTGGCCACTGACACGTCGAAATCAGAAGTACGTTGATAATGAAACAGGTGCTGCTAGTTGAAATCAGAAGTACTTTGTTAATGAAACAGGTGCTATCAGTCGCCTTTGCCAAATTTCAACCATGGATTTGTTCTTGTATAACGTTTTACTACAGTAACGTTAGTACTGTACAGTCATACCACTCCTCGCATCCCCGCAGTTGGAATTGGTCCTGTTCCAAGAATATTCCCTTACAGAAGGTATACCTTCAAACTCCGAAATTATACGACGTACAGTACTAGTACTACGTAGTACTATATAAGACGTCGCACACATACCGGTATGCGAAAAAAACCAAGTAGTTAACCTGGGACTTCGTCCTACCCCGGTGGGCACGAATACTTCGAAGTATAATGTTATTTCCGGGGTTAAGCTCATCAGAGTATTAGCTATCTCTAACCACTGAGACGCCTTACCCCCTAGCTGGTACGGGTTGTATTGGTGCTATCAATAGAAATCCCACCACTTTGCTTTGTCCAACAAATTCTCATTTCACGCGTTATGATTGGCTGTTGTAAGTTCGTTCAGAATTCATTACTAACAGGAAATGTATCGTTTGGGACTTTTGAAGGTACTACTGGGAAAGAGGGAATGCAACGCCCACCTTGACTTCGAGTTCAGACGGAATGAAGTTGTCTAATTGGTCACATAACTACGAAGTTCGACAACTATTCTAGCCAATCGCAGCCTATTTCGAATAATTTTAATCACTTCTGAAGGTGATAAAATTCCACATCGTACGTACAGTGAAATTTGTTCAGCACTGACAATATCGCAATGAAATAAAGAGGTCATTAAGAGTAGAAGGAAGACAATCCAAGAACTTCGATTACTACCGTAGACAAACAATAAGCGTAAGCGTTCGACGCGATAGCGCAGTGGTTAAACACGTTGTGTGTCTTGAGTGAGTCCCGGGCGCGTCGAACTTTATTCTTTGAAAAATTCGACTTATTCTATATCCTAGGAATTCTATGAAATTATAAAGAATCCAGTGAACTTTGTTAAAAATTGAATCAATTATCTCCCACCAATTCTGGAATTGCCTTCTCAAAGCTTCGGCGGATCACATCGTCAGTCACCATGTCCCACGCAGCGATGGCTCGCTTCACCATCGCCATGCGCTTTTGACAAGCGGTAGGTGAGAATGGATCTTCATCATCACCGACTATCTGCTCTTCCAATAGCCACAAGTTGCGGAGGTTGCGCTTGAAGGGTGCCATCACGCCCACGTCGAGCGGCTGGCAGACGGACGTTGAATTGGGCGGCAGCGGGCAAAGGTGGGCAAAGGTGCGCACCCAGCTCTTCATACATGATTTTGTACGACTCATCTGACACGTGGCATTCAAAGTTGTCCAACAGCACGACTGAAGGCTCTTCGATGCTCTCGCCCAACACCTCGCGAAGGTACTGTGCCCATACACGACCATCCATCCACGCCTTTTCTTGAACGGCGTAGTAATGCCCCGGCGGGAATGTAGGGAACTCAGTTGATTCGATCCGGCCTCCCGGCGTCCCGCGCATGACAAACATCAGAGGCAGCTTGGTCCCGTCCGCTCGTACCGTCAGGACAGCGGTCATGCGCATGGAGTGCTTCTCGCCGGCAGAGATCTTGGAGCTGCCGCCCCGGACAGACCAAATGTAGCTTGGCGGTAGGTCAATAGTACATGCCCGTTTCGTCGACGTTGAACACGCAATCATTCGAATAGGAGGCATACTCGTGATCGAAGTAACTGGCAAACTCTTCTTGGACCTCGGCCAGCACAGTTTGCTTCAGTTTGTTCTTCGTCGGTCGCTGCCGGGTAAAGCCGTGCCGTTTGCAGAAGCACTGAAGGAGCTTGAGAAGTGAGCTGTAGGCAGCGTTGGGGTTCTTGGTAGAAAGGTAGTTGAGCAGCCAGTCCCGTTGGTTTAGCTTGATCCACGTAATCATATGTGTGGTGGTCAAAGCACGTTCGTTATCGCTTACATGATTTATGAACTCAATTAAACCAGGTGGATCGGGGAATTCCTCGTAGCGGCCGCTAGGCACAAGCTTGTTGCACATCTTGTTGCCGTCGTACGCTAGCAACTCTAAACGCTGGTGCTGCCAGCTGCGAATGGTACGTCGAGCGATCCCCATGACTCGCGATAACTCGCGGCAAGACATTGTCTCGAGGAGACCAATGGCTTCGAGCTTCG